GGAGGCAGAGTGGATGAAGGCAAAGTTGACAGGCCTTGGAGTCAGACTATTCTGAGTTAGAATCCTTGATCTGCCACTTACTAGCTAACCCATCTCATTGGAATTAAACAAGATAGATTTTGAAATGCACCTTGCATGTTATACCATTCTCAGTAGGCAAATTAGATTGAATGAAAAGTTTGCATAATCTATTAGCTTGCTTGCTTTCATGAGAAGGCCATGGGCCAGGGACACTTAAAACATTTAACTATGGTTCAGCCACTTTTAACTTTTTTTTTTTTACACAATTACTTGAATAGTTATCTCAGCAAAAGCCCCTGGATAATTTGGTCAGGTACAAAGGTACCTAGACCCAACCAAGTTGCTTCCTTCCTACACATCCGTTTTCTCCCCTGTGACATGAGTCAGGTTATACGTAAGCCCTAGCTGAGGTATGAATGGAGTCAAGAGAACTAACTGGCTATTGGTATTAACCCACCTAACCCTTTACCAGCTGGGCTTGAGAGGCAATGAAAAGGCCTCTGAAAATAGGTTGCAGAAGAAACAGCTCAGAGACCAAATCTTTCTAAATAGTTTTTCCTTTTATGGACCCATGCTCTAGATCACCACTTCCTGGAGATTGTATTCTAAACTTCGCTGTGATGGATGTGCCGTCTATGTGCCCACGAGCTCCAGCGGAACCCAGATGTCACCCTGGGGGGAGGACTCTGCTTTTACCTTGTTATTTTAAGAAACGGGTTTATAATAAAGGATGGGAGAGAAAGCAGACCAGGCAGGAGCAGTGTGGGAATGGGCAGGCAGTGGGAGGAGAGGTGCTGCTGGGACCTCCCACTGAGAATCATGGGTGTTTTTTTTCTTGTCAAGTGTGGGACCTCATCCAGCATCCACTCTGCCTTTATCTGGCAGCAGCAGACATCTTTTAGTGTTTATCTAACTTTATTCATGTTTTGTTTTGCTCTCTGACCCACGGAATGTTTTAGGGTCTTTCCTTAGGAAGGGGAGTAGAGGTTAGAAAATGAAAATGTTGTCTTTCTGATGGGATTTGGGAATGCCACAATCTCACACTCCTCTAGCATAGAGTCAAGTCTTGTGTTTTGTTGTAACTAGGAACCATCCAGGATTCCATGGAACCTTAGAGTTGAAAAATACCCTCACAGTGAGTTAGGAATCTTGTGGTCCTTGCCTCAAGTGCAATTCATCTTCTTAGAGTTCCAACCACTGGAAAATTTTTCCTTGCCTTGATCTGATTTTTCAGTTACTGACTGTGAGTCTGTCCTTTGGAAACAGTAGAATTGTATGGACGTTTATCTGAGAAGATATTTTATTTCCCAATTATACCTTCTTCTCTATAGGCCAAAGAATTTTGATATTTTGGGTTTTGTTTGATTTTGGTCCCCCCCCCCCCCCGCTTCTCCTTGTATCCTGCTTTCTTTTTTCTCAACATGGATCTATTTTCTAAAATACTTAACACGCAAAGCCTAAGCTCCTTGGTGAAATTTAAGATATAAAGGGCAAGTATAATTATCACCTCCCATGTTTTGGAAACCATACTCCTATTAAGACTACCTGGACCTACGCACATATCACAGATTTCATTTTAAGAGACTGACAGTGTTTTCTACCTCAACTCTTGTTCCAGTACATTTTATTGAGTGCCACTGATATAACTGCTGTGGAAGTCCAAATAAAAGTGACAAAAATTACTTATAAAGCTCATCTTTCGGTGAATCCAAGGCTCATTTTACTCATACAGTTGCCATTTTGGGTGAGAGATACAGCATGCTTTGGCCCCATAGCTCTCATCTCTAAGAAGTGGATTAACTCTGTCCAGTCCGACTTCTCTCCTTCCTGTCCTGACTTCCCCTTCCAGTCATCACTCCCCAACCTCAAGGTTTTTCTGATGAGACAGATTTCACCCAACATTTCACTGTTCATGCCTCAGCTCAAACACCAGTTCTATCCTTGAATCTTCACTAAAACCAAAAGGCCCTCTCCCTATCCCAATTTCTAGAATTAGGATTCCTTTCTCTGTGCTCCTACTTCTCATTTTCAAGTATTTACTCCATTATGTAATTTTCCAACTGCATCCTTTATCTAGGCTCCATTCTCCTTTAGGGCTGATAGTTTGCCTTCCTCATCTAAAATAGAGCCTGGTTTTTGTGGTGTTGTTGTTATGTGTCGTTGAGTTGCCTGTGATTCATAGAGACCCTATGCATAACAGCTCTGAAGCCTGCCTTATCATGAGCCAGTCTCACTGACTCCAATACACGAACCCCCATTACGCTAGTTACTGTGTCAATCCATCTTATCCAGGATCTTACTCTCCTGCACTGTCTCTCTACCCTTCCAAGCATGATGGTCCTTCTCCAAGGACCAGTCTCTCCTGGCCACATGCCCAAAGTATGTGAGACAGACCTTCAATTCCTAGCCTCCAAGGAGAAACTTGGTTTCACCCTCTCCAAGACAGACCTATTTGTTCTCCTGATGGTCCATGGTATGTTCAATACTCTTCTCCAGGACCACAACTCAAAAGCATCAGTTCTTCTTCTATCATCCTTAGTCACTGTCCAGCTAGGTATAAAGTAAATGTAATGAGGCAGTTCATGGGTATCCTACTTGAGATGAGATTTTGTGAGATGACCAGCAGGTGTCACCCAATTGTTGCAGAGCTGAGTGAGGCTACCTTTCAGTTGAAAGAGTGACAAAACCCAAGGTGATGGAGGGCCATGGTGACCAATCCCAGGATGAGAGGAGGGTGTCAGTAGCAATTTTGAAGTATCCACAACGAATCAAATACCTGATCTGCCTCAAGGAACTAATTCCAGAGGGAGTGTGTGTGTGTGTGTGTGTGTGTGTGTGTGTGTGTGTGCGCGCGCGCGCGTGTGTGTATTTGGTAGTGGTGGTGCTTGTATTTCGTGGGGATCTGTCAGGGGTCTGGGATTCCTCTATAGTTCTTTCATTCTAGGCCCTATCTCTTATTCCATGAAGACAGGAAGAACACTATCAGGGAAGGAGGCAGGGTGTTCTGACTTTTCCTCCTTTAACTTCTGGCAGTCAGGAAGAACCCCTTAATGAGTTGTGTAATAGGTGTTCAGTTAGTGAAAGTGTCCCTCCATCCCACATGTGTGTCTCAGAAGACCCCTCAGTGACTAAAGTCAGTGTTTGGAGATGGCATCTGTGGGCCTGGTGGTTTTCATTTGCACCAACAGAGTGACTCCTTCAGGAGTACTCAGGTTGCAGTCCCAGGCTGCTTGTTGGTTCTGTGGGTCTCTCAGGATTTCCTCCACCTCACCTGCAGAAAGCTGAAAGGAGTAAGGGTAAGAAGAGGCCTAGGAGGCTTCTCTGCACTCTGGACAAGCTTCTCAGGCTGCACGTGGTGTCTGTGGGAAGCTACTCTGTGTAAGATGCACTGTCCTTTCGTCTTCAGAATAATCCTGCATTGGTCAGGGAAATTTATTTCCCCAAAAGGGAAATGGAGACTCAGTGGTGAAGCCAGCTTTCCAAGGCCACAGAGGCAATGAATGGCAGAGTGGAAAGTCAGACAGAGGTACCTGGTCCTGAAACCTGTACTTGTTTTACACTGCTATCCTGCCTCTCCATAAGGAGAACTGACATTATTAAAATCTACATCTAACAAGAAGCAGAGAAGCTGGACCTATTGGCCTAGTTCTGTTGGAAGATGAAGGAGGATCACAATTCTGGGCTTCCTGACTGTCAAGAATCAAGAAAGAGCACTATCAGAAACAGAAAATCCAACCTAATCTGGTTGAAACAGTGAAGAGATTTGGATGATCATGTCCCTAGCTAGGCCAGAAAAGTTCAGGCTTCACTTTGGTCAGGGCTATAGCTCCATTTCTCTGCAGGTCTCCTGACTCTGCCCACTCCTGTGTGCACCTTTATCCCTAGTGTGGCTTACCTTGTGGAAGCAAAACAGAGTTAGCAACACCAGCCAAAGCAAGAGAAAACGTCTGGGTTCCAGAAATGGAACCAGTCACTGAAATCAGGGAACAATGTGCTTATTGACTTGTTTTGTTAGTTGCCACCAAGTTAGTTCTGATTTTAAGTATAATAGCATAACAGAACTAAAGTTTCTCAGTCTTTTGTCATCTTCAAGAGCATGATGTGTTTCAACCCATTGTTGTGGCTGTTGCTCATTGGCATTGACTCGAGGTCACTGGATTGGCTCCTGATGTTTGAGATTATACTGACTAGGTTCAATGCCAGCTAGGCCTCAAGGTTACTACACCAATGGGAAGGGGAAGAATCCAGTGTGTTTTGTGAGCTGCTTGAGGTGGACCCTGCATAGAGCACACAGGATCCTTCTGGCTGAGTCTCTGGGACTGTGACGGACGGGAGCAGAGCCACTAGGTGCAGTGAGGGCTGCGCTTAGGACAGAGAGCCTGGAATTGAGGGTCAGAGCCACTTTTAAAAGTAAGAGAGAAGGTTGAAGTTGAGAACATGGCCTGTACCCTCCATCCACACAGCCAAGGGAAACCAGGTGGGGTGGGAGCCCTGCTCATAAAATCAACGTCTTTGTCCAAATGATTGGTTCTTTGTGTGGTTTGGGGCAAATGGCTTCCACTCTTTGAAGCTGTGCCCTCATTGATGAAAGTAGAATGCTCATAATAATATCTGAGACCATCATGAGGATTGAATTAGATGATGTTGATAAAGCTCCGAGAATAGCGAGAATAGCGCCTGGTTCAGTAAATACAAATCTGATCCCAGTGGAGTGTCTTCCATTAGCTTTGAGGGGTTTGGAATAGTTTTCTCCCTTCTGGGAGAGCTTTGTTTACTGTAAGGACCAAATTAGATGCAAATCTCTAAGGTCACCTCTGACTTTGTAAACAAAGCCAGAGAGCAGGAGGAAATGCAATTCCAAGTGCCCTCTCCTAGCCTGGTTTGACCTTCAGTGTTGATGTAAATTCAAGCAGGCTGATGCTGTTTGGGTCTCCGTGTGGCTCATGGCTTCTGGAAGTGGAGCTCAGCTCAGGACAGGGATGGGAATGGTTTTGACTTGTCCTTTTGGCATCTTCCCAGCCTGCGGAGCCCAGGCCTCTTGGAACATCATTGGGGCTGACGCAGCGGAGGTTCTGGGCACACACGGCCACTCTGTCAGGAGGCTGACATGCCCCACATTCCTGAGGATGAGGAGCCCCCCGGAGATCCACAGGCAGCCCAGAGCCCCGCCAGCCAAGTAAGTGCCCCCTCCCTGCCCTGGGCTAGCCTGGCCAGGGTCCAACCCAAGCACCATGAGCAGAGGCCTCAGCTTCCAGCCCGGCCACAGGTTTGCTTACCATCTGAGCACCCTGCAGTGAGTGCCTGGGGAGGCAGGTGTACAGCTTCCATGTTGAGAATGAGATGACCCTGACTTCATTTCAATCGACAGAGGTCCCCATATATGCTAGGAATGAAACTTCCAGAGCTGAGTCTGACCCAGGTTTCTTGGGAAGTCAAACTACTCAAACCCTGTAGGCTCAGCCCTAAAATAGAAAATGACATAGAAGAGAAAGCCCAGCCTGGAGGCCTTGTCATGTTCTGATAGTGGGCCACTTGAAATGAACCCACTTAGCATTGATGATTAGAGTTGGGTAGTAAATAGTTCCAAGAGTTATCTTTTTGAAATGTTATTGTAAATGATGAAAATAGGTAAAGAGTATCACTGATACTTTATTGTGAAAATTAAATTATGGCAAGTTGTTTTTCACAGTACATAGTGTGAAATAGAGGTTCTGTGGTAAGTTTTAGAATGAATAATTGTTGATTTTGGTTTTGATTTATTTTTGTTAATATTAACCAAAGAAACTATTTTTATGATGCCATATCTTTCACTTAAAGGCTTGCTTTATGGCATCCTCAATAACAAATTCTGTTTTCTTATTATTTATAGTTTCTACTCATTTTCCAAAGGTTTTTTGTTTTGTTTTGTTTTTTGTTGTTTTTTTAAAGTTCAGAATGGCAGAGTAAAGCATGAGACCAGGACTTTGAGTTCATAAAGCAATCATACCAACCCCAGACTGCTTACCTCTAGGTAAATTTTTTAATAGAATTAATATAAAAATTGTGCAGAAAGTAAAGTGAATTCCAACTGTTCTCTCTCTGCATACAATTTTTCCTATTATTTACATCTTGCATTCTTATTACTAACTAAAAACCATAATTTGCATTGTTGTCATTGCATGCTGTCAAGTTGCCTGCAACTCATAGCAACCTATATATACAGTAGCTCTGAAGCTGGCCCTGTCCTGAGCCAGTCTCACTGACTCTGACACACCTACCCCCAGTGCCCCAGTTATTTTATCAATCCAGCTCATCTGGGTTCCTCCTCTCCTGTGCTGTCTCTTCACCCTTCCAAGCATAATGTCCTTCTCTATGGATTGGTCCTTCCTGGCCACATGCCCAAAGTATGTGAGACAAAGCTTTAAAGTCTTAGCCTCCAAGCCAAGGAAAAACTTGTTTTCACCCTCTCCAAAACAGACCTACTTATTTTCATGGTGGTTGATGGAGTTTTCAAGACTCTTTTTCAGCACCATAACTCAAAGGCTTCAATTCTTCTATCATCCTTAGTCATTATCCAACTCTCTGATGCATAGCAAGTAATTGCAAAGATCATGGACTAGATCAGGCTCACCTTAGTTGCTAGATTAACACTGTTGTCCCTGACAGCAGATTTTCCCAGCGCAGCTTGTCTTTTGTTTTCCTGACTGTTTGGTGTCAATAGTGTTGATTGTGGAGCCAAGCTCTAGTTTACATTAGAGTTTCAATAAATGTTTAAGTGGCATTTTGTCTACCATTACAATGTTATTATTGTTATGTATTCTTGAGTCAGAACCAACCCATAGCTGACTGTCCAGTAGTTTTCAGAGATTGAGATTTCAGAAACGGTGATTTCTCACCTTTCTTCAGTGGAGCAGCTGGTGAATTCAAACTTCATGCCTTTGGTTTGATAGCACAGTTCTTTACCACTAAGTCACCAGTGCTCTCTACCATTATAATAGCATACTGGATCATTTCAGTGCTTCGAAAAGACCCTAGTTCTCCACCCCACCCCCCAAGGATCTGTTTCAATTGTTTGATATTCAAATCATACTCATAATTTTTTTCTTCATTTGTTAATTGACTCAGCTCTGTCTGATCTTCACCAGCCATGATCTTGCATGTAAAGTTCTACAACATAATTTTCTTTAATGTCATGCACTTTGTAGTTTGTTTATGATCTGAATTTTCATTGTCTCACCATATCTGACACTTAGTCCCACTAGCTGACTTGGGCCAGATAAAAGGGAATATATTCTAGTTAAGAGAGGGAAGAGTTCACTAAAAGAGTCTCCTTGTGCCTCCATATCAGACTATGATATTGAGATGTTACCTAGTTCAGCTGCCATGTGGAGGAGTTGTACTTCCTCTAAATCGAAGTAATGGTGGGCCAAGCCCTCAACCCCTTGGCCACAGGCAGCCCACTTCAGAGTTCTGTGGACTTCTCATTCTAGAAACTTCTTGGTAGATGGTAAATCCTGCTCAGAGGTGCTTCTGGTGAATCAAGAAAGTTGCTTTGTTACAATTGATTTCTGGCTTCTACAAAATTGAGTTCCCTCTGCTGCACTTTTGCTCACAACTCCCCAAAGCATTAGCAACAGTGGACTGTAAGTTGAAGTAGCTTTAGAAAACTTGAGGACTATAACTGATATCCAAGCAGATATATGCACACCCATGTTTATCGCAGCTCTGTCCACAATAGCAAGGAGTTGGAAACAACCCA